CAATCCCTATGTAGGTAATTGCTCAGGATAAAATTCAGTAGTAGCAGCAGGATAGGAAAATACCTGGAGTTTCAGTCTCAGCAATCCAAATTCTTCTTCGGAGCCTTTGTGGTACTAGAGACTTTTGTATCATACATTTTGAAAATTTTAATCTTTAAATTATTCAGTTTTAATGTTTTGTTGTATTGATTGAATTACTACCCAGAGCCTTGCTGTGGGGATGGGCAATTAATAAGTTTGTATACATAGCTGGCTGATGCAGTAGTCATGTGACATGTCCTCATGTGGCACTGATTTGCAGTGAACTTTATAAGGAAGATGATTTTTCCTTATTTCATGCAGTTTTCCCCTCCATACTAATCTTATTCTATAAATCTCCATAAGGACTACATGCTGCTACCCATATATCGCTATGCTTTTCCTCTCTTTCTCTATGAATGACCTATGCTCTTCAGCTTAGTCATTACGTCACAAAAAGGTTTGTTGCTTTTTATCATCATTCTGCTATTTGCTGCTCCCTGTTCGATGTGCACAGCATGCCTGCTCTTCCTCAGGTCATCTCCGATCATTCTGAAGCTCCAAAGTGTCAGACTCTGAAATAAGTTCTTTTGTGAGTAGGAATTAAATGCTTGGAATACATGAATCTATTTCAGAATGTGCAGATACTGATCATGCCCAGAGAAGTGCTCATTATAGCAAATAAATGTGATCACTAATAGCAATAGCATTTAGACTTATATACTGCTTTACAATGCTTTACAGCCCTCTCTAAGCGGTTTACAGAGTCAGCATATTTCTCCTAACAATCTGGGTGTTCATTTTACCGACCTTGGAAGGATGGAAGACTGAATCAACCTTGAGCCTGTGGGACTTGAACTACCAAACTGCTGGCAATCAGCAGTCAGCAGAAGTAGCCTGCAGTACTACACTCTAATCACTGCGCCACCATGGCTCATTAATTAATGCAGTTCTCCAGTAGAATTCATTGGTTTTCTAACATACTATAAACGGTGACATCTAGAGGCATATTTAAGGGCTCTACGACAACAAAAAACTGCTAATTTGATAAGGAACTGAATCCATGTTCTGTTCAGGTTTGAATTATTTATTGTTTTATGGAACTACATATTCAGTTTTTGGAACTACGTAAAAGAGAAAAGAAAGATGTCTAGAGTTTCTTCCTTTCCAGCAGGGAGAAAGGTCATTTGCTTGTTTAAATCCTGATTTTCTGCACACTGTAATGTTTATGATTAATTAAGAGTCTGATTCAGGACAAGAACAAAATGTTATTGGTAAGCTACTTCAGTGCAGTTTGAAAAATAGAATTATTATTGGATAATAGTATCCACGTATCCATGTATAAAAGTGGTAATTGAAGAAGCAGGATAGAAAGAATGCTGATGCATTTGAGCTTCTTATTAGAGAAGGTAACTGACATAGAGTTGGACTAGGGACAGATAGATTATCCTGTCTTTATAGTTCTTAGGATCAACACCAACCTAATGGCGCCGCATAATTGCTTATTATCCATAGAGCAAAAATATCAGCATTTTTATTTTGATGGGTGAAACTTTTATGATATTCTTATTTAACTGAAAGAACTAGGTTTTAAGAATTAGTTTATCTTCTTATTTATCTATGTCATTTTTGCATCCTTTTCTTGGCTCTTCCCTTCATAATATCCATAATACTTTTGTTAGTTTTTAAAATCATGGCATACTTAGATTATATAGCAACATACTGTATCTCACTCGTTTCTCAAATTTTGATTTCTTTACTTTTTCCAGATATTCTCAAGGAAAACTTTTTATAAGTAATCAATATAGATATATTAAAACAACTCAAAAAACTTCCTAGCTATATTAAATTACAGGGCCTGCAGTTATGGAGCAAATGGCTTTGAAAGTTATTTAATAAAACTTCAGAAATTTAGCTATACTCATAGCTAAAATTCAGAATTCAAGGGTCACAAGAATCTCTAAATAACCTGTTTATTTTTTATTTCATTTAAATTTTGCCTTTATTTCTATAAATAATTTGAGGTGGCAAACATATCTAACGTTCCTTCCTCCTCCTGCTTTCCTTATAACAGCAATTCTGTGAGGTGAGTTGGACTGAGAGGGAATAACCCGCTCAAAGTCACCCTCCTATCTTTCATGGCTAAAGTAGAATTTGAACTCGTCGTCTCCTGGTTTCTAGTCTGGTGCTTTAACCATTAGACCAAACTGACTCTTTGTTTGTTTCTTAAAGTGGCTGAAGTTTGCTAAGCTAAAGCCTAGTGCTTAGCTAAAGCCAAAGAAGGCAGATAGCCAGAATGTGAAAGACTAGATACCTTCAAGCTATTTGCTCAAGTTTCCACTATTGAAGGGCTGCATGAGGCTACAACTAGGCTACAACTAGAATATCAGATATATATATAGAATATATATAGATAGAATATCAGAAGATAGCCAGAATCTGCAAAGACGAAGTCAAGATAGCAAAGGCTCAGAACGAACAGAGACTTGCAACAAAAGTCAAATATAATTAAAAAAAGGTTTCTTCCAACATATAAATAACAAGAAAAAAATCAAGGAAACAGTCGGTCCACTAAAGAAAGAAGACGGCAAGGAAGTAACAGGCAACAGAGAGAAAGCAGAACTGCTTAATTCATTCTTTGCATCGGTTTTCACGCAAAAAGAAACCATAGCTCAACCCACCAAAAACATAACTGTAAAAGACAGACCAGAAATAAAAGATAAAATAAGCAAATAAAATAGTAAGTGAACACCTGTCTGATCTTGATGAACACAAATCACCAGGGCCTGATGGATTATATCCCAGAGTTTTAAAGGAGCTGGCAGAGGTCATCTCAGAACCACTGCACCATATCTTTCAAAAACCCTGGAGCACCGGGGAACTACCAGAGGACTGGAAAAGAGCAGATGTGGTTCCCATCTTCAAAAAAGGAAAAAAAACAGACCCAGGAAACTATAGGCCAATCAGCCTAACCTAACGGGGAGCCTAACGGGGAGATACTGGAAAAGATAATAAAAAAACAGATCTGCTAACATCTAGAAACAAGTAAAGTAATAACTAGCAGTCAGCACGGGTTTGTTAAGAACAGATCATGCCAAACCAATCTTATTTCATTCTTCAACATAGTGACTAAATTAGTAGACCAGCAAAATACTGTGGACATAATATATTTAGATTTCAGCAAGGCATTTGACAAAGTAGACCACAACCTACTTCTTAGTAAGCTAGAAAAAAGTGGAATAGATAGCACCACCACTAGATGGACTCGCAACTGGCTGACAAACTGTACTCAACAAGTAGTCCTTAATGGGTCTAAGTCTACATGGAGGAAAGTAAGCAGTGAGGTGCCACAAGGTTCTGTCTTAGGCACAGTACTCTTCAATATTTTCATTAACGACTTAGATGAGGGAATAGAAGGGGAACTTACCAAATTTGCAGATGATACTAAGCTGGCAGAAATAGCTAACACCCAAGAAGATAGGCTCAAGATCCAAATGGATCTTGACAAACTAGAACACTGGGCTGTATCTAATAAAATGAAATTCAATGTAGAGAAAAATAAAGTCCTACACTTAGGCAAGAAAAACCAAAAGTACACATATAGACTGGGTGAAACCAGGCTCAATAGCAGTAACTGAGAGGGATCTTGGAGTCTTAGTGGACAACCAGCTAAATATGAGCCAGCAGTGTGCAGCAGCAGCCAAAAAAGCTAATGCAATCCTAAGTTGTATTAACAGAGGGATACAATCAAGATCAAGGGAGGTACTAATACCACTCTATAAAGCCTTAGTAAGACCATACCTAGAGTACTGCATCCAGTTTTGTTCACCACATTATAAAAAAGATGTTGAGATTCTAGAAAAAGTACAGAGAAGAGCAACCAGGATGATTAGGGGACTGGAGACTAAAACATATGAAGAACAGTTACAGGAACTGGGCCTGGCTAGTCTAGGGAAAAGGAGGACCAGGGGAGACAGGATAGCAGTCTTCCAATATTTGAGGGGCTGCCACAGAGAGGAAGGAGTTAACCTATTTTCTAAAGTTCCTGTAGGCCAGACAAGGAATAATGGATGGAAACTGAACAAGGAGATTTAACCTGGGAATAAGGAGAAACTTTCTGACAGTGAGAACAATCAACCAATGGAACAGAAGTTGCCCTCGGAAGTTGTGGGAGCGCCATTACTTGAGACTTTCAAGAAGAGATTGGACTGCCATTTGTCAGAAATGGTGTAGGGTCTCCCGCTTGGGTGGGGGGTTGGATTAGATCAGGGGTCCCCAACCACCGGTCCCTGGACCGGTACCGGTCCGTGGATCATTTTTTACTGGGCCGCAAATCTTGGGTGCCGCCATCTTGTTTTGACGGCACTTCCGGGTTTTCGGTTGCTTCCGGGTTTTCGGTTGGAAAGCGGCGTTTGGGTGCTCGCGCCTTAGTTTCGTCGAAGGGGGGGGCGGCTTCGAACGAAGAGCTGTCCCGTTGGCGGTGGAGTCTCGCGTTACTCAGGTACCGGTCCGTGGAAGAATAAATAATCGTGAAACCGGTCCCTGGTTGAAAAAAGGTTGAGGGCCACTGGATTAGATGACCTACAAGGTCCCTTCCAAGTCTGATTATCTGTTATGATGGGGGAGAGGAGAGAGAAGAGAATAGGAAATATTTATTTCCATATTTCTTGTATTTGGTTAGCTTTAATGAAGATAATTTTTTCTCCTTAGTTTTTCACTAGATAATTTCTGGACGTAAGCTTGATTGACACAGTTCATAATAATATTTTCCCTTCTTTCCTGCAACCAGCTAAGTTTTCAGGTGATGGTGTCTTCATGTAGTATGTATTAAAATGGCATGTGTGTGTGTCTACACACGTGTGCACATATTCTGGATGCCTTTCTCTAGTCTACTGTTTTCTTTTAGAATAGTAATTTGAGCAATTCTTTCAGTGAAGGTCTGCCTCTTTATTCCATAACTAATGCATGTATTTGTTCTTTAGACTGAATCTGGCTATGGATCAGAGTCAAGCTTGCGACGTCATGGCTCTATGGCATCCCTTGTTTCTGGAGCAAGTGGGTACTCTGCAACATCAACCTCTTCATTCAAGGTTAGATATGAAAAACAGTGATACTTTTGAAAGAAACCTATTTTTTATACATAATGTGTGTGTAAATAAACCCTGAAAATACCTTAATAATATATGTTTTATTGATGAGTTCTGTTACATTTTCTCATGTAGGCAAAAATACATGGGGTCAGAAACAATGTACCTGAATATCATTTAATGTAAAAGGGATAGAGAATGGCCTTGACGGATAGGAGAAAGAGCTGCTACCAAGGCAGAAAAGAGTCTCAAGCCCATTCCTAGTAACTCATTTGAATAAATATCTTAGAAAAACTCCTCGTTCACATAAAGATACAGGAAGGGAAGAAGAAAGTGCATTCAGATTTGCAAGATTTTGTAGCTAAAGCTATTACAATAAAACTATATGATCCATATGGCTTGGTTTGTTAGATTGGTCATTTATTTATTTCCTACCTTTATTATTTTTATATGTAACTCAAAGCAGTAAACATATCTAATACTCCTTCCTCCTCCTATTTTGCTCATAACAATTCAGTGAAGTGAGTTGGGTAAAAAAACTGGCCCAAAATTATGCAGCTGGCTTTCATGCCTAAGGCTGGATTAGAATTCACAGTCTCCCAGTTTCTAGCCTGGTGTCTTTACCACTAGAGTCTAGACCCATGATGGCGAATCTATGGCACACATACCACAGGTGGCACACAGAGCCATTTGTGCACGCACACAAACTTCAGCCAAGTTTACCTGCACTGCACATGTGCATGCTTCCCAGCTGATTTTCAGCCTGTTTGAGGCCATTTTTGCCCTCCTGAGGAAATACCGGAAGTGCTGAAACGAGCCCGCTTTCAGCCTCCCAAGGCTCCAGAGGCTTCCTTCGAGCCTCTGGGAGGCTGAAAACGGCCTCCCACAGGCTCCAGAGGCCCTCCGGAGGCTGAAAATGGGCATTTCAGTATTTTCAGAAGGGCCATTTTTCCGCCTCCCAAGGCTGCAGAGGCTTCCTTCGAGAGAGCGAAAATGGCCTCAAACAGGTCTAAAATCAGCTGGGAAGCACGCACATATGCAGTGCAGGTAAGGAGGTGGGGCGGGGGTGTTGCGCACGCATGCACAGGGAGCGGGATGCATTGCATTGTGCGTGCTGGACCACATGCGGGCACTTTTGTCACACCACAACAAAAAGATTCACCATCACTGATCTAGACCAAGCTGGCTGTCTTACAGGAATAATATATAAGCACAAGACTGAGGGGTTTGACTGGTAAGAATACTTCAATTTTTAAATAAGAATTGCCTCATGATTTAATACTGTAGTTCTCTGAATTCCTCTGGCATTACTTTAGAGCAGGGGTCGCCAACTTTTTGGACCTCAGGGACCACCAAACTCATAATTTTAGATCCCAGGGGCCACTAACCAGTTCTGTGGGCGTGGCCTAATTTGTGGGTGTGGCTTGGTGGTCATGTGACTGGCTGGGCGTGGCTTGTATGTAAATATTATAAATATTTATATAAATATTGAATTTTTTATAAAAAAGAGCAACTTTTACACAAAATCAGGCAAGGCAGGCAGGCAGATTGAGTTGCTCACAGAATCACAGATTCATTCAGAAATCTATCTGCCATTGGCTAGCTCAGTCTGTCACATAAAAATTTACTTGCAAGCAAACTCACAAGATTAACTCACAACACACCATGCATGTAAATATTGAATTTTTTATTTAAAAAAGAGCAACTTTTACCCAAAATCAGGCAAAGCAGGCAGATTGAGTTGCCCACAGAATCATTCAGTGATTTATCTATCTGCCATCTGCTAGCTCAGTCTCTCAAATTTGCTTGTCGTGAGTCTGCACTGAATTTGCTTGCTGTGAGTCTGCACTGAATTTGCTTGCAAGCAAACCTTCAGTCCTAAGGGAGGTTCGGCTGTGCTTAGCTAGAAAGCAAGAAATCCAACCCTTTCCTGCTTCCTAGCTAATCTAAATCTCCTGGCACAGCAGAACAGATGATGGTCGGAAAAAGGAAAAATTGCAACTTAGCAGACAAGTTTACAGGGTAAGGAGTGAGTGGGCGGGGAGGGTTCCCGTGGGCCATGTGGGGTGAGCAGCCTTCTGTTTCTGCGCAGCCTGGATTAATTGCTTTGGGAGGGGGGTGCTCTGGGGGTGAGATTTCTCTGCAGCCCACCAAAATTTTCTCATGGCCCATTGCTTTTGAGCAATGCTATATAACTCTCAAATGTATGTTTTTTGTGCTGTTCATAAACAGTTATACCAACCCAAATACTTGATTGCATATGTGAAGGATATTTTAAAATGTTTATGGTCATTGAATTAATAGACAGGATACATAAAATAAGTGTTCAGATAGGAACATGATCTCAATAACTTAAATATACAAACGTTAAAAGTTAAATATATAGTGTATGTGTACTGAATTAACACCTTGCTAAAAGTATGAACATATATTTGGGTTAATATAATGGAACATTTTACCAACAATTTTCAGAAGGGCCACAGTTTGCGTGAGAAGCTTGCTGAAATGGAAACCTTCAGAGATATATTGTGCAGACAAGTTGATACATTACAGAAATATTTTGATGCCTGTGCTGATGCTGTCTCGAAGGATGAACTTCAGAGAGATAAAGGTATTAATTTAAATATGTTTAAACTAAATGATTCTGTCATTGTAAAATGGTATATATTGCAAATTAACATTTATTTTAGGTGGTATAGTATGATCTTATAAAACTATGGTGACTATAAGGGACCCAGAACAGTTTTATAGGGGGCTGGGTGTTGTCCCTGTTGGTCTGCTGCATGTTCCATACAAAGCCTTGGTTGCTGATCGGAATAAGGCAGCTCATACCCATGTGATGTGACTCCTCAGGGATCTTGTCACTCCCCATGTTTATGAAAGAGCTGATGGAATGGGATGTGTCTAGAGCATCACTAGTGCTCATTAAAGGACAAACTCATCTGAACATAAGTTAGAGTCGTTATTAAGACTTGCATTCAGATGGTGAAGCTCCACTACTTTTCTGCCCTTATTGTCATGCCTTAACCCTGTTTCAGGTGACATAAGCCCACCTGGATAAGGGAGGTGTGGAGATCCTCTTACAAGGGTGTGCAGGGGAATGTATGTAGCATCTATCAGATAAAGTGACTGGAATTTGTTCCCAGTTGGGTGCTGGCCCGAAGAGATGCCTAGAGAAGAGCCTTGCTGGTTGTCTGGGAATGATTTGAGTCTGTTGGATCTGAGGAAGTGCACAGAGTCCTCAGGACTGTGAGCTTGGCCACGTGTTTTTTTTAGATGTATGCCTCTCAAGTGTTTTTAATGTGACCCACAGGGTGTCATGTGAGTGGATTCTGATGGTGGTTATTTGTTCTTTGAGTGAAGGGGTTGTTCCTTTGCCTCTTAAAGGGGTGGTTGTTTGTTCCCTCCTCAAGAAGCCATAGCTGGATCCCACTATATTAGACAATTTTTTCCAATGACTCGTCTCCCTTTCTGGGGAAGGTGATAAAAAAGATAGTTACATAATAGCTTCAGAGGTCAGGATCCTTTTCAACCAGGATTCGGACCCAGGTATGGGATGGAAATGGCATTGATTCTGCTTTTGGATGACCTCTGCCATGGGTGGGATGGGGTAGTGTATCCATCCTTCCCCTACTTGACTTACCAGCAGCTTTTGTTACCATTAAGTATAATGTCCTGGATCAGCTCAGAGGGGTTGGATGGCATGGTGTTGTGGTGATTTGCCTTCTTCCTTCAAGGTCAATTCCTGTCTGTGATGATTGGGAAGGAGAGGCTTTTATTTTCAGTTGGAAATTGAAAGCATATAGCAACTAAAGTCATGAAATGAAATCAACATACTAATAAGGGATATGATTAAAGATCCCCTTAGCTTTATTGCTTAACTGGTGTTTCACAGTAGCACTCATCTCTCCCCACCTATCCATTAGTAAACTGAATTATAACTAATTTCTGCTAGCATTTGAATTTTTAATAATATTAATTTCCTATTTGATGTATATAAAAACTATACAGGTATGAATATCTAGTAAGATGCATAGAATTTATATTTTGCTTGGATATTGATTTAATAAAATGTTTCCATGGGTTACTAATACAGAAGTGTTAGCTAGCTGACACAACCTTTGACTTAAAATTATTTCTCTGCTATCTTCTGATTCGATGCTATGCACATTAGTAATTGATCTATTTCTTTGTTGTAGTGGTAGAAGATGATGAAGATGATTTTCCTACAACACGTTCAGATGGGGAGTTTTTGCATAATGCTAATGGAAGTAAAGAAAAATGTAGGTATACTTAAGTACATTATAATATAAATGCTCTGGTGAAATAATCCTTTGAGTACTTCATGAGTACATCATGAAGTGATTCAGCATCATATGCTAAACATGCCAACAAACATAGAATTATATATATTTTAATTAAATATGTATTTTATTTTAAATGCTTAGAAGATATGCAATATACTAATTTACATTTTATAATTTAAAGATTGTATTTAAAATTATAAAGCTTTAAAAGAAATTAACATTTCTTTAGAGACTTGCAACTCTAACCCTATCTAATGTTTTTCAAATAATTGTTATTGAACTTGGTAGATTTACTCATGTAAATGGACATAGGATCAAACCATACATTACATTTAACTAATAGTTACTGAAAGTATTTAGCAGTTTTATAAAACCAATTAATAACCCTGTTCTTACTTGCTAATTTCAGGATGGTTTTATTCATTTTTCCCCCTGTTACATTTAGGTAAGTTTAGGAATGAATCTGTTTAAGAAAAACCCTAAGTATTAATTTATTCAAGGCAGCGTATAACACTTTTAAAATTTTATTTCAATTATTTTGATACTCCCATAGATAAAACAATAGAACTTAAGGCTTGGCAGTCTGTGTTGGAACAGAAGTAGAATGCTTGATAGCAGTAACTACATTGTGTGTATATTCAGAAACATTTCTTACTGGTGATGCCTTTAGCTATTTCTTCTGTTGATAAGTGTTCATCTGAGGTATTGTCACTCATGCTATGCTTACATCATATTAGATTATTGTAATGTGGTTTCTACCTTGACAACTGCCTAGAAACCAGACACAAATAGTCTAGGAAGACTTTGTTACTGACCAGTAACTGTTCAACGAACCTAGTTGGTTTCAGAATGCTATTCAGATATTTGCCCTTTTTTCCCCATTTCCTTATAGAGAGATGTTCTACCTATATTAGTGACACCAATTTTATGGTTACCAAATATAAAATCGTATTAGAGGTTATCTATCTTAAATGTAATATTTTTCTCACAGAACTCTTTGTCTGATATCCTTTGTCCTTCTGAGCATAAGCCAGAATTTTGTTTCAAAAAGTTTATGACTAACAAGAGACAGAAGACTGCATTTTGATACTGCTTAATTTTCAGCTTTGATTATGCTATTAAGCTAGGTAATTTCTTCTAGTTATGCTATATTTGACCTACATATATTATTATTTTATATTATCAGTCTTCAGGATAAAACTGTTTTTAATAATACCGTAAGAGTATAGTACTGCCACTGTATATGGAAAACCTGCAGTATACTTCATATTTTTTATGCATTTATTATTCTACTTTCTTAATAAGCCTTGAAGTTCAGTAGATATATTCTTTGCTGGCCTTCAGGAGTGTTTTAATTATGTACTGCATTTTGTTTTTATTAACAATTTATTTTTTTAACTTATCTTATTTGTTATGCTAAAATATTTTGTATTTTTGAGTTGTAATCCAAGTATATACTTCTATTCATTGTTATTGCCATAACAATTTACTTAAAATGAAATTTATTTTAAAATGTAGATTTCTGGGTTTTTTCTAATATAGTCAGTCATTTTTTTTCTATGTCTTTCTTTTCTTGTCACATAGGAAACTGAAAACATATGGTGGTATTAAGTTGGGATAAGCTTGATTCATTATTTAGATTATACAAACAAATGTATATTTTATTAAAAAACATCTGATAGGGTTTATAAATAGATTTTTAGGTATACCGGTAGCATATATTGATCTTACCTGATTAAATCCCAGCTCTTAGCAAATGGAGAGGCCCAGTCTTAATATGACAACATCTAACATGATTTGAATGATACATTTTTCCATCCTTAATATATATTGATGTATTTTTGTAACATTCTACCTCGTATACTTTTAAATAGATCATTTATTCAAACAAGCTTAGCAACAGATGGCTGTTTCAGTGAAATACTGAAATAAGCTGTAGCTATGGAAAATTCATCTGTTTAGGTATATTATAATCTCCTTCCATTTTTTAAGGACATTATTATCATGCCCTGGTTATTTTTCAGATGCTTTTATAGTGTATTATTAGACTCAAATGCATGATAATTATTGATTTTAAATGCTGTATCTGCTAGCTTTTAAGGTGGTTCTGTTTTAATTAAATCGCTTCACGCTGTCAAACTACAATTGTTACAAGAATATTAACACTCCTGCCACCCACACATTTTTTCAAAGCAGAGTTAAAGCACTGAGAATCAGAATACACAGGAATATAGTTGGAAGAAGGCATTTCTTCTACTGAATTTTCCCTGTATTCTCCAAATGAACTTTAATTGCCAAATGATTTTTGCTGTGCATAGGCACCATGCTACATTCCAAAAAATTTCAGGTAACATTCATTTGAGTAAGCAAGGTTTGTACTGATATATCTATAATCTGTTTTTTAGGGTTTCCACATGTTACACCCAAGGGAATAAATGGTATAGATTTTAAAGGTGAAGCTATAACTTTCAAAGCAACAACAGCTGGAATCCTTGCTACACTTTCCCATTGTATTGAATTAATGGTAAAACGTGAGGAGAGTTGGCAGAAAAGGTTGGATAAGGTAAGGCTCTTAACTTGTGCAAGGATTAAATTGTGATTTTTTTAAAAACGTCAGATGTACTGAAAATATTGACCCATATTTACAT